AACATGTAACCATCATATCCATGGACGTCATATTCATTTAATTAGTGGTGGACCATCAGCAACTCTGGGAGGGATGTTGTCAGAAAACTTTCCTTGATTTAGTTGAGAGCCAAGGGGTATTACCAGTTTCACTAACAAAGATAATTGTACACAAAACTGGTTTAAGAACTTCACATTTTATAGTCTTCATACACTTTATTTATAAATTCTGTCAGGGAATGATGACATCACAGTATTTCTGGAGCCCCTCTTTTAAGTTGAACATTCATAGGTTCCAGCGATACACCTAGTTTTGTTTGTTTTGTTTTGTTGACATGTTGTGCAAATCACATATTTCTTTCATGATAGTGATGTTAGCATAATTCAAGAATTTCTTTTCCTGGTCAATGTTATGTTTAAAAAATACACAGGAGAGGACATTACACAATTCTGCAAATGAGGATGTTCACCACCCACTTTCAATGCACTTGAATCAAATATTTATACCTTCTACGATAATGTGATGATACAAATCACTAACCTTTTTTGTTACGATGTTTACCTCGGAAAATGAGCAGCAAGTGTACAGGACAATAATAATAATTCCAATATCCAAACGTAAAATGCTGAAGTCAAGACCGATAACATGTGACAACATGACAATTGACATAATCTCTGCAAATATGGCAATGATCCAGTAAATTAATAGCCAGCAGACAAGACGAGGCTGATCCCACTGTTCCATGTGGTGACAATACACCAGGCTTGTTATCACTCCCAGAAGTGCAAACAACTGTGGTATATACTGTTCTGGATTTGTTGTAGCATTTCTTGTCTGATCAGTCAATATTCCCCCCATCAGATCAAAAATTAGCATTACTATAAGTAATAGTGAAACTATCCATTTGAAATTATGTCCAGGATATGGTATTGCAGTTTTGTTGGCATGATAGCGAGAACTCCTACAGCATCCAATGATAAATAAGACAGTATATGTCCCTGCGATAAAAACTGTATGAATGGTCATTTGTAGATGGAGAACATTGCGCAGACTATCGAGAGTGGTGTTATTCATTTCCATATTATGACGATATCAGCCCTAGAAATAAAATAAAAGATAAGCAACTCAATTAATTAATTAATCCATAAATTACACAAATCCTCTTCGTATAATACGTATAATTGTACATAGAACAATGGTACTTAATATACCAAGATGCAATGTTGAACAATGAATGAACATTAACTGCCCGCGTTCCACGAGTACTAAGCATGCCCAACAGTAGTCAACCAGAAACTCCAAAATGGAAAATGTGGGCATAACCATAGTATTAAGTGAACTAGTTAACCCTAAACAAAAACATTAAAGCAATAACATTTACTTGTTGAACTTTTATTGACGTTAATGGAAGACCACAAGCCTATGGAAGACGTGGGCGGTTTCTCACCTTTTTCTGCTTTCATAAAGAATAACTTAAAAGAATATGTTTGTTATGATATAAATTGTCTTTGTATCGGACTTCGTAATGTCTTAGCAATGCGTCCTCAATGTAAAACACATTGATGGAGACCATGAGAAGATTACTATGGAAGACGCTACTCAGATGATATCATTGTGTTTGAAAACAGTATATGAAGAAATCAAAATATTGAAAAAAGTAGTATGTCCCACTGGACCGGTTAGACTGAAGTATAAATGTTGTTTATCCAGGATATGAGGTAGCACTTGATGGAATAAGCATCAATCCAGATATTATGAAGTTAAGTATAGAATCGAAGACTCCAGTTAATACAACCAAAACAAACTCTTCCTTTGTGTCATATTGACATCTATTTATGCGTGCATGGTCCAACACTACTTGTACATTCAGTGTAGAAATTATCCATGAAAAACATCAAATTTACTTGGGAAGGCACCAGGAAAAACAAAGAAATACTGATATATAGTAGACATCAAAGACAAAAACAAGAGGATTTGAATGCAGATTCAAGATACATAAATATATTACATACGGAAACAAATCACACAGCAGCTTATCGGAAATATAACTAGCCGAGCTTGATGTCGATTTAGGATTCTGCTTACAAATAATTTAGCCAATCATAGTACGTTAATTTTAGCCAATACAACAACCTCATTAATAGTTATTTACCTATCAGCTCGTCTCCCTATTACCCAATCATGTACAAGGCCAAAGTCCCTTTCCGCCAAAATGCAAGGAATGTAAACTTGTGTATATAAGTGGGTGTTTTGACACATCACGGCAGGAGTTTCAATAAAGTCATCTGTTATAATGTACACCAGTTCGTCTCTTGTTATCCACCCCTGAACCTTATCTTAACAATTACACACATTGTTTTGGTGCCGAGACCAGGATTCAAGATGACCGAACGACCAACTCTTTCCAAACTGAAGGGAACTCGCTCAGCGCATCGTGGACAGATGACGAAGCTCCTGAAAAAGGCTGACGAAAACGTCAACGTTTTCCCCCAA